TGAGAGCTGCAGTGCCCTTACCTGTGGGGTGAGAGCTGCAGTGCCCTTACCTGTGGCTGTCACAGCTGCAGTGCCCTTACCTGTGGCCGTGAGAACCTTTTCCATTCCAGGGGATGCTGCCCAGCCTGCCCAGAGTGCCAAAGCTCTGGGGAGCAGCAGCATGGCACTGCCAGCCCCAAAGCAGCCCCTGCACCAGCACCCCTGCCCTGCCCTTCCCTCGTGCTGTTGGAGAAATAAATCTGGGGAGAATCCCCTGAAGGGTCATTGCCACAACAATGACTGAAGAGAAATCGCATCCTCTGCTAGTTTTCCCTGGGATGCACTTAATAGAATTTATTTTGGTTATTTCCAGGAATCCTCGACTTCTCTAGACTCCACAATTGTCTTTATTATTGCAAGAAATAATCCGATAATACAAAAGGGACTATCTTAGATATATATTTGTGTGAGAAACTGGGACACTTGAGTGATTAGAAGGGAAGTTAGCGAGAGAATCTCAACTACTGCTGTGACCCTGTGGCCAGGAGGCTACGAGGGTGAGGAAAGAGGTCTTTTTATGGAAACATTTAGCACAACAACAGGAATACAAATCGAGCTCCATTAATTTAGCTTTAAATTTTAATGGACCAGGATGTGCAGTTTACATAAAGAAGGATTTGCTTGATAAAATATTAATATTTTTTGCTAAAAGAACTGAAAAGTGCAAGTTAATATAGGTTTCCTTATATAGAACATTAGAAGCTGAAAAGCCCTGAAAGAGCAAATCAAACACAGAAAATAAAAACGAGCCAAATTTCAAGGAGAATAAAATATTGTTTGTGATCAGCCTGCAGGAGTGGACCCCCGGTGACCCCACATTATTTACCTGATTTAGCAAAAACCATGCAAACATTAAAAATAGAAAGAGTTGTGCCTTTGGTTCCACCCAGGGGATGGCTGTGGCCCCTGAGGGCAGCCCATGGCTTGGCCCAGGCACTGGGGCTGGGGGAGCCCGGGTGTCCCCACAGGTCCCAGGACAGCGTGTGACACTGGGGACAGGGAGAGCCCGGGCTGGGAGCACCCCTGGGTCAGCCTGGGGTCACCCTGGGTCAGCCTGGGTCACTGTGGGGTCACCTTGGGTCACCCAGTGTCACCCCTTTGGGTCACCTCCTTGGTCATCCCCTGGGTCAGCCTGGGTCACTGTGGGGTCACCTCCTGTGTCATCCCCTGGGTCACCACTGGATCATCCCCTTGGGTTATCCCCTGAGTCACCGTGGGGTCACCCCTGGGTCACCTCCTGGGTCATCCCTTGCCCCAGTGTCACCTCCTGGGTCACTGTGGGGTCACCCCCTATGCCAGCCCCTGGCTCCCCGCAGTGTGTCCTGGCCACCTCTGGAGGGGTGTCAGGGCTGGGCCGTGTCACCCAGCCTGTCCTGCCCCTTCCAGAGGAGATGTGGCAGCAGAGGCACAGGAGGAGCCACAGGAGGAGCCACGGCACCCCCAGAATTCCCGGTGCCCCTGGGGTGGGCAGGCTGGCTGGGGGAGGCGACCCTGCCTCCACAAGCAGATTTCCCCTCAGGAACGCCTCGCTCTGCCTCGCCCCGTGGCTGAGGAGCCCAGGCGACCCGAAAAGGGCCTTTAGAAGGGTGCCAGCAGCGCTGCACAGGGAGCCAGGCACAGAGCCTGGCACACTTCTCCAGCAGCAAAGGGCACAAGCCAAGCAGGACCCTGCACCCAGCCAGGCACTGGCAGCCTCAGCCTCCCACCACCACTCCTGCTTTTCTTCCTGGGAAACATCAAAGCGTGTTTGAGCACCTGCTCCCCAGGGCCTGCTTTTCTTTCGGCACCATCAAAAGCACCCCTGGAGAAGTGACTCACTGCACAAACATCTCATTGCAGCTTTCCAAAGACAAGAAAACCGAAAAGCATCCGCGAGCGAAAGCCCGGCGGTTTCAGAGGACAACAAACCACAGCTTCACCTCTCGAGCTGGTGGCTGGGGCTGCAGACGCAGCAGTGATAAAACTGGCATGGGCACCTCACATCCCTGCTGGGCTGAGGAGCTTTGGCTCTCTGGGCACCGGGGAAGGCTCAGGGCAGGGGAGGGGAGACAAACCATCTGTGGAGCTGTGAGGAGCAGCAATTCCCACCCAGAGCCCATGGGAGCAGGGGACTCACGTTGAGCTGGAGGTCGTCTGTCCACTGGCCCACCAGGCGGTAGCCGGGCGTGCTGGTGTTGCTGCTGTGGTACTGGAAGATGTCGTAGCGCCCCGGGGCATCGCCGTTCTTGTTGAACATCACTGGAGTGCCAGCACTGCCTGGGGAAGGAAAGGAGGAAAATCCAACCAGCCAGCACCACACCTTCAGCCAGACTTTCATCGCCAGGCTTTCGTGGGAGCTTTCACACTGGAAACGTGTTCCAGACCAAGGCTGTCCAGGCTGCAGCCAACAGGGCGGGCACTTGGGATGCTGCCATCACCCAGCCCTGCCCCACACCCAGGCCTGCCCCACACCCAGGCCTGCCCCACGCACCCAGCCCTGTTCCACACCCATCCCTGTCCCACGCACCCAGCCCTGCCCCACGCACCCAGCCCTGCCCCACACCCATCCCTGCCCCACGCACCCAGCCCTGCCCCACGCACCCAGCCCTGCCCCACGCACCCAGCCCTGCCCCACACCCAGCCCTGCCCCACGCACCCATCCCTGCCCTGCCCGCTGCCTGGAACAAACCCAGCCTGCCCAGTTGAGCCTCCCCTCACCCTGCCCTGCCCACGACCAGAAATGTCAGAAGGCTTTTCCCTCTGCCCTGCAGCAAAACCACTCCTGGGCATGCAGCCTCTACAGGCTGCCTCCCCCAAGAAAATGAACATCTGCTCCTGGGATGCCAGCCTCGACTGGCATCCAGAAATAGCCTCCTCCTCCTCCTCCTCAACATCTTCCATTCCCGGCATCGTGGGCATGAGAGGCCAGAGCAACCTTTGGGAAGAGCTCTCCCTGTGCACCCCCTGATCCCGGAAAAGCACTCCCTGTGCACCCCCTGATTTGGGAATAGCACTCCTTGTGCACTCCCTGATTTGGGAAGAGCATTTCCTGTGCACTCCCTGATTTGGGAATAGCACTCCTTGTGCACTCCCTGATTTGGGAAGAGCATTTCCTGTGCACTCCCTGATTTGGGAAAAGCACTCCTTGGGCACTCCCTGATTTGGGAAGAGCATGACTTGTGCAGTCCCTGATTTGGGAAAAGCACTCCCTGATCTGGGAAGAGCTCTCCCTGTGCACTCCCTTCTCCAGGAAAAGCTCTCACTGAGCACTCCCTGATTTGGGAAAAGCTCTCCCTGAGCACTGCCTGATCTGGGCTCTGTGGCACTGCCACGGGAGTGTTGTGGCAGACCCAGAGTAGGACCCTGAACTGATTTATTGACCGTGACAAACACGGGCTGGTGCCCTGTGTGCTGGCACAGCCGGAGCTGCCCCGACTCCTGAGCTCAGGTGGGTTCCCAGGAGCTGCCCCAACACCTGAGCTCAGGTGGGCTCCCAGCAGGACCCTGCATGTACATCTCCACGGCTGGCCAGGAACCCTCTCAGAGCAGAGCCCAAAGCACTGCCTCGTTTCCTCAGAGCTCCAGCAGCGACCTTCCCAGTGACATTTCTTTCCAGACATATTGAAATAGGTTTCGGTAGGGCAGAGTAATATTGTGTCAAGATTGAAGATTATGACAATCCTCCAGCATATCTATATTCAAAGCTTCCTCCTCCTGTCTAACTTTTTTCCCCTAAAGCAATGAAAAAATCTCTCCTGTTGTAGCACTGAACTTTAAGATTATCGTTTTCTCCATGATTCCCATTCTTCATTGAATTCCAGGGAGTGACAAAAAGATTTGAAGGAGTGAATTAGCATAGTCTCCATTCCAGCCCTGGTAAATTGTTTCCTGTCTCTCCTACAATCCTCTGAGATCAGATACAAATTCAGTTCAAAGGCTGGTACAGGAAATCTCCCACTGAAATCTCTCCTGGCTGGTTCCTAGTGAGCGCCAGGCAGATATTTAATTGTCATTACGGATTCATGCAGCCGGAATACATTTGAGTAGAAACACTTAGAGTCAATCAGAAGCAATGGCTGTAATTCCCTGGCTCCTCAGGAAAGGCAGCAAAGTGCTAAATGGGATTTGGCTGAGCACGACTCTTAGGGCTGCTTGGGGTGAGCTAGGCTCAGCTTTGTCAGGGCTGACAAGAACAGGACAGGAACGGCAGGAGCTCGGCTGGGGCTCCCAAAATTCAAGAGACACACACGGGAAGGTGCAGCGCTGCTGCCGGGAGGCAGGTGGAGGATGGACACCCCAAAGGCAGTGCTGGGACAGACCCTCAGGGGACACAGCCAGAACACAGCACAGCCCTCCAGGGAACAGCACCCAACCCCAGAAAAGGCACTGAAGTGGCCTGGGACACCCGTGGCTCCAGCAGGGCTGCACAGCACCCTGGGCTGGGCACTGCAGAGACAGAACCACGGAATTACAGAACCACAGAATTCCTGAATCACTGAATCAGTGAATCACAGAATCACAGAATTACAGGATCACAGAATTCCCAAATCACAGAGTCACAGAATGACAGAACTACAGGATCACTGAATCATGCAATCACGGAATCACAGGATCACAGAATCAGTGAATCACAGAATCACTGAGTCAGTGAATCACAGTCACAGAGTCACAGAATGATGAGGTCTGAGATCAAGTCCAACCCATGCCCTCACACCTCAACAGACCATAGCACCAAGTGCCATGTCCAGTCTTTTTTAAACACATCCAGAGGTGGTGATTCCACCACCTCCCTGGGAAGACAATTCCAGTATTTTATTATTATTTCTGTGAAATTTTTTTTCCTAATATCCAACCTGTACCTTCCCTGCCGTAGCTGAGGCTGTGTCCTCTTGTTCTGTCAGTGCTGCCCGGGGGCAGAGACCGACCCCACCTGTCTGCAACCTCCTTTCAGGAGTTGTGGAGAGCAATGAGGGCACCTCTGGGCCTCCTCTTCTCCAGGCTGAACAGCCCCAGCTCCTTCAAACATTCCTCACAGGTTTGTGTTCCCTCTCCAGCCTCGGTGCCTCCTCTGGACCAGAGGACAGGGTGCCAGGGCCCGGGGCACGGCTGTGCAGGGCAGGAGCAGCCAGCCTGCTGCAGAGCTCTGTGCCAGTGACACAGCCAGGCTGGGGGAGATGCAGGGAGCAGCTGGGAGAGGGCAGCGCTGTGACCTCGGGCAGAAGTGTCCCTCTCCTGCCTTTGGAGCTGCAGTAATTGGGCTCCAGCCAAGCTCTGCTCAGCAGGGCCAGCCTCCTTAACCTCTGGGTGAGGCTCTGGAGCCCTTTCTGTGCCACCTGGCTGCAGGCTCTGTCAGTCCTGCTTTGCATCACTGCAGCGCTCCAGCCCCGGCTCCGGCTCCTTTCATGAAATAATGGAATTAATACAAAGTGATGTATGCAAACCTCATCACAGAGAGGAAACAGGCGTTTCAGAAATAACCCTTGATCTTCCAGTCATTAAAACATGTTGTTATTCTACTGGTTTTTGATCATTTAGGATTTATCTTCTTTCTGTTAAGATTTCCCAGATTTTGCTGAGCCCAGTAAGCAGTTCAGAACCTCTGCCAGTCTCCAGGCTGCAGCTTCTTGCTCATGCAGAGCTGTGACAATTTAATTCAGTCCCCAACAAAGGAGCTGCCTTCTCCCCACACAGGCACAGGGCACTTGCCACCTGCAGGAAGCCCTCAAACCCAGACAGAGCCCGACTGAATTTGCAGGGTTTCGATCTCTTAATCACTGCAAGATGAGAAATGAATTATGGAGAGGACAGGAGTGACACAGGTGTCACCAGCCAGGGTGTTTGGTACTCAGGGCACGTTCCTGCCAGTTTGGGCACCTGAGGGGCTCCCATGAACAGCATCCTCAGCCTTTCACTGCCAAAACACAGCTGCACTTCCAAACTTCCAGAATTTCATTGCCTGAGCACTTGAGGTTTAAACTCTCCCATATCTTGGGCCTTTTGTCCTCCAGGACATGATCACAAAATGCACGCTGAGCTCCTCGCTCAGACCCAGCCTCTCTCCATCACAGCCTCGCTGCAGCCCTGGCTGCACTGCTGGCAGCACCTCTGCAAGGAGGGCCAGAGCCAGGGCAGGGCCAGCAGGGTCTGCTCAGGGTG